ACACACACACACACACACACACACACACACACACACACACACACACACACACACACAAATGGTGCTGGGTCAACTGGCTACTGGCTAGCAATACCAAAACAAATGAATCTTTATTCTCTAACCTTACACAAAACTAGATTACAGGTGGGCTGTAAATCTAAGCATAACGGTAAACAATGGTGCTCATGAATTGTAAGAAATAATGTGAAAATGACTATACTGCTAAAGCAAACTATAGATTCAATGCAACTTCCATCAGAATTCTAATGCTATTGTAACAGAAATTGGGAAAAAAACTGCTTTAAAATTCATATGAAAGTACAGACGAGTACAAATAGTTAAAGCAATTCTGAGCAAGATAATAATCCTGGAAGTATCACTATAGCTGATTCAGGTTATACTACTGAGCTATAGTAACAAAAACAGCATTACACTGCATAAAATCATTCATGTAGATCAATGGACTACAACAGAGGACCCAGATATAACTAGAGTCACCTGATTTTTAACAGATACCAGAAACAACATCGGAAAAAAGACAGCTTCTTCAACAAATGATGCTGGGGAAACTGGATATCCTCATGTAGAAGAATGAAACTAGATCCCTAGATCTTGCCTTGAATAAAAATCAATTCCAAATGGATCAAACACCTGAATGAAATAACCAATACTCTGAAACTGCTAGTGAAAAGCAGAGAAAATACTACCAGATACAGATGTAGGCAAGGACTTCTGAATAGGATTCCAGTTGCTTAAAAAATATTGACAACTGGGATCTCATAAAATTATAAAGTTTCTATACAGTAAAGCAAACAAACAGTTAATCATATGAAGAGAGAGCCTACAGAATGGGAGAAAATCTTTGCTAGCTACACATAAGACAGAGAATTAAACCTAGAATAATTTAAAAATGAGTTAATGAAGCCAGGCATTGTGGTGCACACCTTTAATTCCAGCACTCAGGAGGCAGAGGCAGGTGAATCTCTGAGTTTCAGGCAAGCCTGGTCTACAAAGTGAGTTCCAGAATAACCAGGGCTGCTACACAGAGAAATCCTGTCTCAAAAAAACAAACAAGCAAAACACAAAAATATGGGTTAATGAACTGATAGTTCTCAAAAAATAAAGCAAATGTTCATTAAACACATAAAAAATACTCCATGCTCATTAGCTACCAAGAAATGCAATTAAAAACTATCTGTACAATCCATCCCACCCCAGTCAGAACACTCATTAAGAAAAGAAACATGGGGACCAGGGCTGGTGGTGCACACCTTTAATCCCAGCACTCAGGAGGCAGAGGTAGGCAGATCTCTTGAGTTTGAGGTCAACATAGCCAATTCCAGGCCAACCAAGGCTATAGTATTTGAGACCCTGTCTCCAACTCCAAAAGACAGACAGACGGATGGATGGACAGGCAGATGGATGGACAAAGGAAGGAAGGAAGAATGGATAAGAAAAGAGAGAAGAGGAAGGGAGGTGGAATGGGGAAGCAGAAGCAGAAGGAAGGGAAGGAAAGAAAACAAACAGGGTTGTAATACAGCTCTTGGGTTAAAAGTTCTTATTGCTCTTACTAAAGACCAGAGTTTGTTTGCCAGCACCGTTTCCTAGCACCCACATCTGGCAGCTCACAACTACCTTGTAACTTCAGCTCCAGGGAATCCAACACCTCTGGCTTCCATGAACACTTGCACTTGATGGTGTACAAACACACACATTTTAAAATAAAATAAAAACCAACAACAAATGCTAACTAGTATGTGGACAAAAAGTAACACCTTATACAGTGCTGGTAAGAATATAAAATAATATAGCCACTATGGAAATAAATATGGATGTTCCTAAAAAAAAAAAAACAATAAAAAACAACAACAGATTTACCATATGACCCAGATACATATTACTCCTGGGAGTTCCAAAATCCGGCTCCCCTTCCCTGTGTTATCTGTGAACTCAGAAAGAGCAGAGTAACAAAGAAAAACTCTGTTCATTTATTCTCCTAGATAGTTTTGCTTCTACTTTCGTGTAGTACATACATACATTATTTTTATGTACCTATACAAAAATCTAGGGTCTATATATGAAATAAAAGATTTGTCTTGCTGAGACTGGATTAATTCACTTAATATGTTTATCTTCATTTGCATCAGTTTTCCTGCAAACAACACTGTTTTACCTCACCACTTAAAGCACCTTCTGATTGGTTTAATAAAGAGCTGAACAGCCAATAGCTAGACAGGAGAGGATAGGCGGGACTTCTGGACAGAGATAGGAACTCTGGGAAAGAATCTGAGGCAGGAGAGATTTGCCAGACAGATGTGGAGGAGTTGGATGTATGGTACTGAGGAGACGTAACAAGAGACATGGTATAACATAGATTAATATACACAGGTTAATTTAAGTTTTAAGAGCTAGTTGGGAACAAGCCTAAGCTAAGACCAAGCTTTCATAGTTAATAAAAAGTCTCTATGTTGTTATTTGGGATCTGGTAGTCCAAAGAAAGACCTGTTACAAAAAAGGTATTCTTCTAAAATGATTAAAACAAAATATTTCATCAACATTCTTAAAACATATTGTAACTCCCACAAAAGATTATGAAACACTGTCAAGGCATCCATACTTTGCAAGAGTTATATTCAAGAGCTGCCCCTTCCCTACTAATCAGCAGTCTCCTATATATGAAAACTACATGTTTGTTGACTTGTATTCATGTTTTAAAGGCTGTACCATGCAATATAGTTGCTACCAGGCACACGCAGTTACTTAGTATTTGAAATGTAACTAATCAACTATGACAAATTCATTTCATTCTCAAGTCTTAGTACTAATAAGAGATAGAGCTGAGCTAAAAGATGGTTTAGTGGGTAAGAGGGATTGCTACACAGGCATGAGAACCTGAGTTCAGATCCATGTCACCCATTTAAGAAGCTATAGGTGGCCATATGTACCTATAATGTCAGTGCTGGGAAAGGGTGAACAGGATTGTTGGATACTGTTAGCTACCAGTCTATCAGGAAACTGGTGGTGAGAACACCAAAATACAATGAACTCCAGGTTCAGTGAAAGAAAAGACCTTGTGCTTAGAGGAATAAGGCAGAGAGTGATGGAGGAGGAACAAGCTTACTAGAACATTTTTATACTGATTATATGTTGACAAGGCAGTATTTTATGTATGCTGAATTAAATGTTAAATTTCAACCCTAACTTTTTTAAAGATTTTTATGTGTATATGTGAGTGCTTAGACATAATGTGTGTGCCTAGTGCCCTGGGGGACCAGATAGGGTGTCAGATTCCCTAGAACTGCAGTTACAAGTGTTGTGTGCAGCCTGATGTTGGTGCTGGGAACCAAACCCAGGTCCTCTGTAAGAGCATCAAGTACTTTTAACAACTCAGCCATGCCTCCAGCCCCACAACTTAAATAGCTACCCAAAATCTTTAACAATATGATTCACATTATACTCCTTTGTGGTCCAGATTAATACTTGGTAGTTATGTTTTGTATTTCTGAGAAAGGTCTTGCTAGTTATCTCATGCTGGACTTGAAATTACTATGTAGCCGAGGCGGTCCCCAAACTTATATTTCTCCATGTTTCCACCTCCTAAGAGCTGGAATTACATGTCTACACCTGGACCACCACCAGCAGCAGCAGCAGCAGCAGCAGCAGCAGCAACACCAGCAGCAGCAGCAGCACCAGCACCAGCACCAGCACCAGCACCACCACCAACAACAACCCCCACACAAATACTGCTACGTTCAGTCTTTTTAATTCAACCCTTCCTGTGCACCACACAAAACAGATTATCTTTATTCTAATCACAGGCAGTCTCTATGCATAAGGGGGTCCAATCCATAATGCAAATCATGAAATGGGCAAGTACTGCCAGAGACTCAGTGTGTTCTTCATAGGCCTCCCAGTGAAGACCTCTAGCATGCACTACTTTGGACTAGCCCAGTGCATCCCAATTTTCAAATCTCAATTACCTGGCAAATGATCATGAATTCCTCGATTTATGGGTGTTGTGCAGACTTTACTGAAGTCCAATGAATCATCCAAAGTGGCATTTATCCTTCGAAAGATACTGGCATTGCTACACGTAGACAGTGCAGGAACATCCTGGTTGTCCCAGCAATCTTTTATTCTTCCCGTTTCTTCTTCCTAGACATGGAAAAAAACATGCTTAGGTTTTCTATACTCATACAGAATAATAAACAGACTTGACCCTGTTATTTTAAACAATACCATGAATTTTAAAAAGTAAGTAGGACTTCAGTTTATTGCCTACATATCAAAGCACTAAATCAATGTTTATTATGAACAAAGTATTCAGAACACTATGGGTACCAATTTAAGTATAAAGATAATTTTCTCAAAAACCTCTTAATCTAGCAGTACACACATAATAATTAATTATGACATAGTAACAATAACATGAAATTCAGAACCAGACAGACTTGGTTCAAATCTTCAGTATATCCACACAATGGAATATTGTTTGACATAAAGAAATGTACTGACACATAATACAATATGGGTAAACCTTTAAAATGTGAAAGAAGCCAGTCACAAAAAAGACAACATATTAAGGGAGAGAGAAACATTTTCATCAGTGGTGTCTCCACTGGTTAAGTTTTCCATGTGCCTATAAATAACCGTTCACCTATGTAAAAACCCTAATTAAACACACCAGGTCACCAGAATAGAAAAACAAGATATAAAAATGGGTGACTAAGAAGAAGGGTGTCAACAGATACAGGTGAGGGGGACAAGAGAGGATAATGGAGAAAAATGTATGAAAATGTCATATTCAACTTCATTACTTTCTCTTTTAAAAATTAATTGTGCACGTGCGTGTGTGCGTGCGTGCATGTATCATAGACCAGAGATTACTTATTTAAATTTGGGGAGAGGGGCAGTAGTGATGGCTTATCATTTAAGAACACTGGCTGCTATTCCCAGGACTTAGGTTCAATTCTCACACCCACATGGAAGTTCATAACCATCTGTGAACTCCAGTTCCAGGGTATCTTATACCCTCTTCTGGCCTCAGTGGGCATGGCAGGAAGATGATACAAGATATACTTGTAGGCACAATATTCACATACATAAAATAACTCATTGGCCAAACCTGATGACACAAATCTGTAATTCCAGCTATTTGGAAAGGTTGAGGCATGAGGATCACAAATTTATTTAGTGAAACTACCTCAAAAAAATAAAAAGGCTTGGAGTTTGTTCAGTGGTATGCTTGTCTAATACACTCAAGACCCCATGTTCAATCTTCAGCACTACAAAAACACCCCTCTAGACACAACTGTTCACTGAAAGGTAAACTTTATGATATATACATTATCTCAGTAAGGTTGTTTAAAATTTATGGCTCTATCATGTATTTGCTGTGTGATGCCAACCTGTGTCTGCTTCCCTCTGTGTGAAATCAGTAAACCAACTTTTGGATGACTTTTATAAAGCATGGTGCCTGACATACAGCAATTGTCTAGACACTAAAGATATAATTGCAAGAGAGGATGTGGCAAGAATCAAAACATGGAACCAACAGCATCCAAAGGGAATGCAGTCATTGGAAGCACACATAAATCTGCTTAATAAACACTGCCTAATAAACATTAAATAACTGTCCTCTATCTATAGGCAACACTTCAAGGGTCAGTAAGTGAAGCAAAGATTCAATTTTAAAGTTTGGACAATGAACTAAGATCTGATCATGCTATAAATAAACACAGCATAAGCTACAACATGCTATAAACAAATTCTGCCCTCTAATCCACAATGTGTTTGAGAGCTGGATAAAGGACAAGGTCTAAAGAACAACACAGAAAACAGGGAGGCATTATCAAAAGTGTTCCAGTATGGTATAATGTTAGGTAAAGAAGAGACTAGAAAGGCCTCATAAACCAAGTTAAGTAGTTAGCAGTGTCTTCTATATTAGAAGCTACCAAAAAATTTAAAGCACGCTTTAACAATGAAAAAAAAACCACCTAATTTTTGTTTACTATACTACAAGGACTACAAATAAAATCTCAGGATCTTGGCCACATCTGAGAGTGAGAAAAAGATTGTTTGTAAGTCTTAATAGACTGACAGCAGTTGCAGGAGAGATTAGAACCAATGAGGGACACATGCAAGCTTGTGCATTTCTCAGAGAAATTCAGTCCTTACGAGGAAGGTCTAAAATGTTTATTATTTCAAGTAGTCTGAAAAAAATCTAATTTAAAGAATCAATCCAGCCACTTTGCCTCACTCCTAATACCATTAAGAAGACACATCATATTCCTAAACGGGGCAAATGTCATCTGGCATGCCCCCTTCCTTATGTACAACAAAGTAAAGTTCTTGTTTAAAGTAACTGTGCAGTTAGAATAAAAATAAGCAAGGTGTTCAATTTATACACCAAATAGCTGATCTAACCAGTAAGTATCAATGTTTACCTTGAATAGCCACACTGGGGGATAAGTGAACCAGTACTGTTAGATGGAGAACAGTCTAGTACTTTCCTCATGTGCACACTACACGTGCACACAAGTATAATACTATGGCATGTGGAGTCTGAATTAATACACATGTAGTACTTACCACAATGCCTGGCACCTAATTATGTGCTGAGCAAATTAATGCTATCAGTACTAATATAATTACACTATGAGTCAGAGGGAACTACAGGGATCTTTGAAGAAAGGATTCATGTGCTCATTAAGTGAGGGAAAAATGTATTTAAAAGCTAAAGCAACTGCTGGGTGGTAGTGGTACATGTCTTTAATTCCAACCCTTGGGAAGCAGAAGCAGGAGGATCTCTGAGCTCAGGGCCAACCTGATCTACAGAGCAAGTTCCAGGACAACCAAGGCTGCACAGAGAAATCATGTCTTGAAAAATTAAAAAAGAAAAAAAAGACTGAGAAAGCTAAGGCAACTATTTGATGACCCTAGGCCCTTCTCTGCCTGGGTACCCATTCCTAATCATTGACTTCAGAGCTTAATTAAAACACTGAAGACATCATACAAATACAACTACCTAAAACTTTAATCTTCCATAGAATAGACTGATTCTTTTGAAACATCAATTAAAAGAATTCATTATTTCTCATTTTCAAAACTGAAACTACCTACTCCCATAGTTGAGTACCACTGACTTTATAGCATCTATCTCAGTGGTTCTCAACCTGTGGGTCACAATCCCTTTGGGGTTGTATATCAGATCATGATTCATAAGAGTAACAAAATTAGTTATGAAGTAACAACAAAATAATGGTTGGGGGTCACCACAACATGAGAAACTGTATATTAAATGGTTACAGTATTAGGAAGGTTGAGAACCACTGGTTTATCTTTTAGCAATGTAGTTCTGAATTTAGACCAATGTTTTACTATAACAAGAACCTTTTTTCTATTGCCTGATGACCTCTATTGTTTTGGTATATTTTGCCATGAAATGAGATCATCAGCAAGCTTTTTTTTTTGTAACCTCAACTTAAGTCTTTTATTGTGGACAAAAAAATTAATCTTTTATATGAATCAAAAGCTTGGGATAAACTACCATAATCTCCAGAGTTAACAGGTTTACTTGGCAATACTAGAAAGAGAAAAATGCTAATTCTTTTAAAATTTAAAGTTGATGATACAGTAAAAAAAAATTAGCCTCAGGATAAAACTAGTTCTGCCTACTTACATGTTACTAGAATGCCTCATGAAGAATCTACTAACACAAATTATTTTAGATCAGGCCTCAATTCTCAGGGGTAACAACTGATACTCACTCCTAATACCATTAAGAAGACACATCATATTCCTAAACGGGGCAAATGTAACAACTGTTACTCTCAGGGGTAACAACTGAGCCTCAACTGTCCCTCCAGAAGTTCAGTCTACAAAAGTTTCATTTTTCTTTTCTTTTCTTTTTTTCCTGGAGCTGAGGACCAAACCCAGGGCCTTAGAGCTCTACCACTGAGCTAAACCCCCAACCCCTTCATTTTTCTTTTTGCACAAGGAAATGTTCCTTCCCTAAAATGTCAGTCCTTATGTTAGAAAAAAAAAACACTAAGTCACGGGCTCTGAGTTACAAATGTTACATTGCTGTGAGCCTTAGTTACCTAAGGTATAAAAAAAGTGAGTGGCAGAGTTTATATTATAAAATTACATATCAAATGGCTGGAATTCTCAATAAATAACTTACTACTGGCAGATGCCCAATTCTAAGTAGGTAATGGTATCACTATTATAAGTATGCTTCCAATATATTACTCAAGCCACCTTCACCAAGAAACATTTATTTATTTCATCATAAATGAGGTGGGTTTTTTCCTTTTGTTTGATTTTACACCTATGGTTTCAAACTACCAATTATGACTCTTCTAAAGTGTGTTTGGTTTGAGACAGGATCTTATAATTCAGGATGGCCTAGAACTCATGATCCTCCTACCTCTATATCCCAAGTGCTGGGATTATAGACATTTACCACTCTACCTGGGTAAAAATGTAAGTCCATTACATGCAGATTATGTTTTCTCAAAAATAAAATGACAAAATTATATTGTGTAGATGGTAGAAAAAATGTAGAACTGCTTTACTGGAAAATCCTGGCCTTGCTTTCAGATAGTTTATGTTCTCAGCCAAGCACTGAGGTCCTCACTCCTCAGGTCAAAATCTTGGCTGGATGACACTCAATTCTCATAAACGACTGAAGCACTACCATTTTATTCAGTCTGCTTTTACTCGACAATACAACTACACTAGAGATGCCTTCAAGAAAATTACTGTTAGTCCCCTATGGACTTGTAAAAAGCTAGGAAAGTAAGTTTGGGTCAGGTGTAGTGGTGCATGCCTTTAACACTGGCACGTGGAAAGCAGAAACAGATCTCTGTTAGTTTGAGGCCAGCCTGGTCTACCTAATTGAGAGACCCTATCAAAAAGAAAGAAAAAATAAATTCAAGTTTGTCTATAAAGGATACATACACAGTTTGCTCCTCCAGATAAGAGTTTTAAAGCTGGAGTCCATGGATTAGAATTTAGAGAATCTCCTAAAAAAAAAAAACAAAACAAACAAAAATACAACCTGTGTTTATACTAAATTGTTTTCCTGGAAAGAAGACCTTTTCCATTTAATTGGATTCTTTTGGTTAAGGTCTTGAACATTCAGGTCTTTT